CTGGAATGCTGGAAAGCACAAAAGGACTGCGGCGAGCCGTTGTCCATTTCCTAGTTGATTTCAAGCCGGCATTGGGACCATGCTTTCAGAATAGAGGTCTCTGACGGAAGTCAGTGCAAGCTGCCCTCTAGGGGACCAGGAACATGCACCACTGGCCTGAGAAAGAGCCTCTTTTGTCTCCAAGGTCAACTTCCTGAAAGTGTGGCAGCTGCAACAGAGAAAGAGATCAGGCCAGGTGAAAGAATCTTGAAAAACAGAAGCGGAAGCTGGTGTTATAGGTTCGGCACGTGCTCACCATTGATGTGAGGATCTGAGGGTTGTGCTCCAGCTCTTTCGTGAGCTGTGCCAGAACCTGCTCTGCATCCCTGACCTGTGCAGGTTCCGCGGACAGGCAGGCAAACTCAAGACTCGTGTGCTGAGCCGCGTGCATCTGCGCTGAAGCGCGTGGCTTCGGCAATGGCGTTGCGCAAGCCTTCCAGCACCCCGACATGGAGAATCCTTAGAGGCAATGGGGTCAGCTCAGGATACCTCAGCGGGACACCAAACGTTCAACCCTAAGCCCTGAAGAACCAGGGCATTATGCTCACAGTTGGTTTCCTTGAAATCACGGTCTTTCTCCCTGTGCTTCTGCTTCTTCTGCTGTGCGTTCTCTTGACACAAGTCACGAGACCATGACTGGAAGCCTGACCCTGGCAAGCACAGGGCCCAGACCCTGCTTCTCGCACCAACCTTGGAAGGCAACACATCTGGCTTGGTTGTTTTTCTTTTGTTTAAGATCGGACTCTTTTCCAATGATTTTAATTCGGGGCTTTCTGGGGGGGGTTCATGGGAGTAATGACTATTGCAGCTGGGCTAACCCTACTTGGAAACAATTGGGCATGTTTAGGTTACTCGGGTCACTGCAAAAAACTTACAATATCCATCGGACATCCAGGCTTAGTATGCGGTTTTTTGACAGCCATGGGCCCTAGCAGTAACTGTAACAACTGGACTGCATTTAGTACGAGTAACTAACCACAGATTAGGCTGACATTTCGATGTCGAACTAAGGTTCTGCTACTAGTTGATACTCATGCAAGGAAGGATCGGGCGCAAGATCCGCAGTGTAAAGAAGCTAAGATTGGCATGTCTCGGTACCCTGTATAGCACTCGGTGTTTCCGTACTTCCAAACTTGTGTACCAGCATCCTCCGATCATCCCTGATCATTACTGATAGTGGTACTCCCTGAAACATTCTCAATTTCCCCGAGGCAGCTACTCAACCTCGCCCCGCAGGTGCTCCTCGGCAGTGCCTTGGCTTGAGCAAATTCTGGCAAGAGGTGACTTAGTCAGGTAAATGTTATAGGAATGCAGAGTTTCCAGTAGTTGGTGGTTGGGAGAAAGCTTCGCGTTGTGGTGAGCACAGCCTTTCTCACAGAGTCCTCAGGACACGTTACGCGTGGTAGCTGCCAAACAGCAGCAGTGACGACGCTCTAAAAACCATCAAATCCGAAACGCTGACAATCACTGTTGCACTGCGAACCGGATGCACACCAGAATAAGCGCTTGAAGTCTAATTTCACTAAAGCTTTGATTCTGAAGCCTCTTGGCCCTCGGCGCTTCTCTGCCAACTGCTTATCAGCGATGATGCCTCCCAGTTTTTGCTTCTGACAAAGCACATCCATCCAGCAACAAGGAAGCCAGAGATGCTGCCCGTTGAGAAAAACAACAGGCGTGAACGAACCACAAAACCTGCAAATAATTTGGTAGAGGCACGCTTCAGGTCGGCGATGGTCTCTGGCACGACAGCCTGCACGCAATTCTGCATTTCCCAGAAGTTTGACAAGCGGCCAAGATTCAAAGGAAGGCCTCTGCTCTGGCAATCGCGCCCTTTTTTACCAGTCGCCTGAAAGGGGCTTGGCAAAAGAGTCCCCAACAAAGGCCTGAAGATGTGAGCGCCCGACGCTTTCTTGGCCTCTTGGATAGCATCCCTGAGGACCGCAATGACACCGCCTGTCCAGAAAATAGCTGCTGTTGGCCCATGATACGGCCCCGTGTTATCGAGGCCTTCGCCAAGCATCTTCTCCACTTCGGCAGAAGATTCCATGCGCTCTGCCTGTAGCGGTGGAAATTAATGTGTTTTCCTAATCACCGTCATCTGTGTATGCGTTCTAGCTGTTATGACTACTACCAGTCGTTTGCTTTCATGATCTTCTGCATGTTTAAATGTGGAATGCAAGACTGAAGCAAAACGAGGAGAAAGCACGTACGGGCACGGCCGTAAGAAGTGATTTATCATGTGTTGCAAAATGTTTTGTATAGCCGGCTGATAGGTAGTCTGTTCTGGAAACTGTTCTGGTTGCCTGAAAACCTGGGGCCATTGCCATTGCCAGTGTTGTACCCTGAACTGCCAGGTTCGCTTCCAGAGCTTGCAACTACCAAACCGGCCCATGCTTCTGACGAAAGAATCTTAGAACTTATCCCGGAAAAACCCTATGGCATGTTACATGAAGAAACCCAAAAAAAATTGCATGACGGACCCACAAGTTTGAGAGTGGATTGGGAGCTACTCAACATCAAGCCTATAGAATGCGCTAGGCAGTCCTGGTTCAGGGCTTGGCTAAACAAATGTCCATCTCCATGGGTCCTACACTGCCAACTACATAGAACGCAGGATGGGCAGGACCCTCCGCAACTGCTGTGCAATCTCCAAATATCCCTATACTTGCTGAAGGTTAGTAGGGAATAAGAGTACATATTATGTAGGGATTACATTCCTTTATTCCCCGACTAACCCCCAGTAAGTAAGGGTCCCCAACGAAAACTCACAATATCTCAGAAACCAATAAACCAAAGGATGGCCGAACCCTAGAGCCCCCTTTTCGGACACCCCCGACCCCCCCAAAAAGGATTTGACGGGACTATTATGATTTTTATTAGTACTAATATTGCTACTATTGTTATTACTCTTTTTACTATTATTGTTACTACTAGTTACTAGTATTACTATAGCTATTATTACTCGTTTTAATGAGTAAAAAAGGAGAGATTCCTGAGGCCTTCATGTCCCTCAGAGGCCCCCAGGTTTGAGAGGATGGTCCGATGTTGCGTTTGGTATTCCTTTGCAAGCCTAAACCTATCTACCCCTATAATAGAATTCTTCAAACCTAGAAAACCCTTTACAGGGACGGCCCTAAACCCTAAACCCTAAACCCTATCTAACCCATTCTAGTAGTTTCCATTTTCTTTTCCATTATCCCCAATATAACCCCTTTATAACCCCTATGTAACCCACTATAGTAGTTTCCATTTTCTTTTCCATTATCCCCATATACCCCCAATATATTCCTAAGCCCAAATGAGCGCAGGCCTGGCTCTTGGCCTCTACGGCTGCCGCCACGCGGCGCTCCATGAGCCGCTCCTGAGCCACCCTATAAACCTTAAACCCTGCACCCTTATTGGGTGGTTGTCAAAATTATATGGCCCATTCTGGGATCTCTATTATGATACGGCACCTACGTAATATTTAGGGTCCCCAAAAAGGGACCATAATTTTGACAACCACCCTTATATACCCTCATAGAGCTCCCTCTGATAAGCATAATCATTATCAGTTTTCGCTTTTTCAAACCCTCGGACTTTTACGTCTGCCGGCTGGCACGAGGTTTGGTCTGAAGCCCTTAGTCGGTTTGGACCTCCGCGTCCTTGCTTCCCTCGTGTGACTTATGGAGTCTGAGGTGTAGGGCCTGAGGCTTACAAAAAAGAATTGACGGCTTTGTTTTTTCTTTAAACCCTTTACTAGCAGGACTTTTCTGGGCGTCGGTGTGCCTCAGACCAGTGTGCCCGTGTGACTGAGAACCCTTAAAATTAGTGGAGTTTAGGGGTTGTGGATTAAGGTGTAGGATTTGGTACTTTCCCAAAATAAGAGGAGTTTCCCAAAATGAAAGGAATTTTCCAAAATGAGAGGACCCCAAAATGGACCACTAAATATTGTAATCCTTATTCTAGGAACCCCGAAAACTAAGTATTGTAATCCTTATTCTAGGAACCCCGAAAATTTACTCCTTTCTTGGGAAAACCCCATTAGGCTTCAGGATTTGGAAATTGAGGCAGGTACAGCCCTCGTTTGGGTGACCTCTGAAGGTTCTCATAGTGGTATGCTGCAGGGATTGTGGGGGACAGGCATACTATGAAACACGAGCGTTATGCAGAACAGTCACTGTGGAGAATTAGGTCATGATCCGATGACAAACCCTAAACCCTGAACCCTTGAAGGAATGTCAGGAGGAATTCTAAGCCCTGAATCTCATCTTTGCGAGATGTTACGGGGAGTCGTGAGCCTTTCATCTCGCAGGGAAGTTGCAGACATTTATGAACCTTCTTCAAGGCCTCAAGGTTGAGAATGAAAGGAGCTTCTCCAGGATCCGATGATAGGAAGACACACGTCTCAACAGCGAACCTCAGGAACGATGAACGGTACAAATGAAACAAGACTTGGAATGATGAAGAAAAAGAGACAATGATGAAGAACTAGTTGTGGAATTGGACAGGAACACGAGGAAGACATTTCGGCAAAGAACAGAATACTGGACTTCAGGAGCTGTGGAATCAGTTTCAAGGAGGATTGTTTTCCAAACGCCTGCAGAATTCTATAGGGATTATCAGGCCACCTTGTCATCTGCAAGCTCCAGAGCATCCGAGAGGTCGCGCATCTGGTGTTCAAAGGAGACCAACTCCTTCAAATAGGATCTGCCAAACTGAGGGAACTTCGGGAACCTCCCTAGGGACATAGAGGGATAACCAACAGCGCCTACTCAGGATTCTGTAGGGGCAATGGTTTAGAAGCTCCCAAACTTTGCAAACATACTTCGAATTCTTGCAAATCAAGAACCTGAGCAAAACACAAGGCCTCTTCAGACACTCCGCATTCCTTCGCATGGGTGTAGGCCCTCTTCGCAGCCTGGATAGGCACAGTCCATGGAAAGCAACTCTTAAAACTTCAACAGGCCTCTGCAAAGACTTTGGAAATTGTATTTTCCGAAAAAAGTCGGGGGACCCCAATATAGACCCCAAAACACCATAATCCTTAGTATGCGAACCCCAGAAAAGTACCCCTAATTGTGGGAAATCGCCAATTGCATGCAAAGCCACTTCCCCCACAATATCCCAGGATTGCACCCTAAACCCTGAACCCTAAATATCCCTAAATAATAGTTTCCACTTTGTCCATATAACCCCAATATAACCCATAATCACCCCAGTTTCCATTTCATTTTCCATCTTCTTTTCCATTTAATTCCCCATTATTGGGTATAACCCCTTTATAACCCCAATATAACCCCTATATATACACCCTATTACATTATAGTACTTCCCATTCTAGTTTCCATTATCCCTAAACCCTAAACCCTATAGTAGTTTCCATTTTCTTTTCCATTGTATATATACCCTATTCTCCCATAGTAGCTTCCATTTTCTTTTCCATTATAACTACATACCCTATTCTACCATAATAGTTTCCATTTTCTTTTCCATTATCCAAAAGGATTGCACTTCGGGGCCTGGAGGTCCTGGAGGTCCAGGGCTTGCGTCAAGGCGCGCTGCGCTTGCTCACGGCGATGCAGGCCTGGGAAACATACTGGGAAAAACTGGGGATGTTCTTATACGACCTATATAGAATACTAGATAATATTAGACTATACCCAAAAGGAGGATAAGATCTTATTCTATATATTATATGCGCCACAATAGTATCAACCAAATAAGATACTTCTCGAGCGTCTGTGTTCTTCAAGAAGGTGCCAATGAATTCCAATCCATTATGGCCAGCGGCACCAAGAACTCTGGGAAACAGGCCCTGCAGAACTTGAAGAGCCTCTTCTGCAGCCTGCTGGTAACTTTTCAGAATGTTGTTAAAAAAACCCAAATCTGGCATGCTGTTTGAGGGAATGATGCAGAAGCTTCACCTGCATGTGAAACATTGCCATTTTGCACCACTGCAGCCCACGCATACTACAACCATGTACCGTCATCTACCCTCACTTCCCTTCCCTGTCGCCTCAAGATCTCCCTGAGGAACACGGCACTCCGTACCCGTCCTCGGAAGCAAAGAGCTCTCGACTTTCACGGGCTTCAGACATACGTGAGAAAAGGCCAAGACCGATAACTTGCCCAACTGCACACCAAGCAGTACAGTGACTGCTTCAGGCCCTAAAGCTGCAAAAAGAAAAGTCTGAGCACCAAGCGACACGGCATCGGAAAGGCTGGAGATGCGCTCCTGTTCAGTTAACACTTGGAGTCATGCGCATGTCGACACAAGCATCCTCCAGCGTCTCGTCGCTTGCGGATGCATTGGGCCACGGCTTCAGCAGGATTTCGCGGAGCCTTGCCGGGCTCATGCACTTCACGACAACGCATTCGACTGCATGATGTCAACTGGACATAACTGGACCATGAACTTCATGCAATGTTCGACTATTTCCACCCTTCGCCCAGCCTTTTTGTGGCTGCTTCTCGCCGTGCCAACTCCTCCTTGATACTGCATAGCTTGGTGTCAGCCGCATCTGCAGTTGGGCGGTCAGGGCTTCAAGTCTCAAAGATTCTCAAAGCAAACGACAGCTTGCAGCCTGAAGAGCAAGCCGAAGAAGCAACAGGCAGCAACAACAGCAGGACCGTCGTGCCTACGGTATCTCTTGCAACGCCCACCTGACAGAAAGTGCGGGTGAATACGGACCATGACAGCTCAACATTGTGGGCCTATGCAAGAGTTCCAGACAGAGCGCAGCTACTAGGAGGGAGAGATTCACCAGACACATCATTAGACATGATAGCCTGCCATCAGTGGACACCACCAACTGATCCACCGTTCACAGTGACAGCTGCAGAATCCGAGCAAGATGCTTGCAGAGGCACTACAGTAGCATCATGTCCGGTTCTGTAAACCGCTGATGCAGCCAATCTATTTCTGACGGCAACTGGCCTAACATGTCCGCTTTGCGTCAGACACAAGTTGCCGTGAATGATTGCCTCTCTTGCATGGGCGATGGCACGAACGAGCTCCTGGAGAATCATGGGCTTTGCAAGCTATCAAGGAATGATCACACCTACTATCTCACCGTGTCATCCTTGCAGCCTACGTACACCTAGTCCAGCACTGTGCTGAAATATGCTAGTTAATCTGCTAGAGAACCTCTTCATTCCCATGCCCACATGCCGCGCCCATCCTCCACATCCATGTCACTGCAGGCAACACAGAGACGGTGCCTCATGACATGTGCGGAGGCAGAGCAGGCCTGAAGAAGTTTCCAGCTTTGGAGGGAACTTGAGTGCCGCACTCCGCGGCACGGATTGCCTTGCACAGCATCGAAACGTCCGTCACTGCATAGTCTCAGCACTGACACTTGGCCTCCATCTCAGCGATCTGGTGCAGTACACGCACAGCTTCATCGGCATCCTGCCAGAGACACTCCGAAACGAGGGCAGCTCCAGGACAGGTCTCTCCAGCACTGGATGGTACAGGTCCTTCTCTGGAATCCCGTCTTCCTGCTCACATGAGAGATGCAAGATTGCCTTTGGCTTCACATGCTCGCAGCCGCTGATACCTCCACGGTCTGCAGGCAGATCTCGATCTGCTCCTTGCTTCGACTGGCGATCGCTCTTCGCAGTGCCTACAGTAGGATGTCGGAAAGCAGCTGGCTCAAGTGACCATGGTCCAAGCCTGTGCCGCTTGCTCTCTTCTGGCAGCTTCTCGCGCCGCTGCTTCGCGTGCTTCACGCTCCGCACGCTCAGCACGCTCCGCAGCTTCTCGTGCAGCCTGCTCCTCGGCCTCCTTGGCCTCGCGGGCCTCTCGCTCAGCCTTCTCTCGGGCTTCGCGCTCTGCACGCTCGGCGGCTTCTTTTGCCTCCTTTTCCTCCTTCACTCGGCGAGCCTCCAGCGCCTCCTGTGCCTCGCGCTCTGCCCTTTCTTGCGCCTTTCGCTCCCGATCAGCTGCTTCTTTGGCAAGCCTGCAAAAAAAGGATGGTGATGGCTTCTGGATCTTGTGATTGCATTCTCCATGGCCACCCTGCTCTAAGACTCGAAGTCGCCTCTCTTCGGCGAGGCGCCGCTCCTCCTCCAGGCCTTGGAATTGGCAAGTCGGAGCTACCCGGACACGATGACAACATGATATGATGATACGATGATGATGCCAACTTTCTCTCGTGTCAACGTCTAGGACCAGGCGACGCTCAGCCTCGGCCCTCTCAGCCTCCAGGCCTTCAGTACAATGACGGCTCTCTGTGGGGCAGCGGGGTCAGTGAACTGCATCAACAACACAATGAGCGAAGAACATAACTGCAAAGGAAGGAAACACATCTGCGGTCAGCGAACTGAAACAGATGTTTCAAACTGCCATTTCCGAGGTAAGCACGCTCCTCCTCCACGCGGTGCCTTAGCAGATCAATCTTTGGCGCGACTTCTGGCCAAAGAACCGCATAGTCAAAGGCCTGTTGTTATCTTGCAAACTGCTAGGCTCTTTTTGGACAGTAGTCAGTTGCCATGTCACGTCAAGTCAGTGAAGCTGTTTGCGACCTACATGAAGCATGTTCACTTCTCTTGAAACTATTGGTCAGCCCGGTGTCAACAGATCGCTGATAACAGCGGGCATCAGGCAGCAGTGCTCCAGGGCTGCTCACTCGTCTGGATCGTCAAATTCTGGGATTCCATCCACTGTGGGTTCGCCCCCAATCTCATCTATGATCTCCTGGTGCCTGACGTCCAGCGGGGTCTCCCTCTCGTGCTGGCGATCTGCTTCTTGCTCCGCGCGCTCCGCCTCCTCGCGCTCCCTCTGCTCCTGCTGAATCGCTTGTTGCTCGCAGGCCTCTCGGGCGGCCTGAGGCATTCGTGGGCACTGCGGGTAGCGGTTCACCTCTGGAGCTGGAGCTGGATGGGACTCAGGTCGCGGGGGAGAAGGGGCGGGGTGAGATTCAGGCTGTGGAGCAGGAGCCGGTGGCTGTGCTGCTGGTGCAGGCTCCTCAGGCTCCACTGGCTCCTCAACGGGTGGTGGCTGGACATTTGGAATCTGTGGTGGGATCACAGGCTCTGGCTCAGGCTGCGTGGGTGCTTCAGCGGCAGGCTCCTTGGCAGGCTCCTCAGCAGGCTCTGGCTCCATGCAAGGCTCCGGGCATTTGTCAGGGCGCTTTGCGTGGATGCTTGCCTGGAATTCGGCATTCGACGAGGAGGGCGAGAGGCCAGGGTACCAATGTGAATGCTGGCGGATGCCAGTGTGCTTTGCCCACATGATGTCGTTGTAGCATGATTCCCCCTTCTGGGCCGTGTGGCACCCGGGCGTCTTTACACACGGCAAGGAGCACTTGTGGGGCGAGTGAGAATGGACAATCTCCTGGAAAGCTGCATTGCTGGAGCGGGAAGTCAGCCCAGGATACCAATGCGGATGCTGGCGGATTCCTGTGTGCTTTGCCCACATGATGTCCCTGTAGCAAGCATCACCGGGCACGGCATCGTGGCAGCTCTCCTCGGAACGCATGGTGGCTTTGCTCTGGAGTGCATTGACGGCGCATGCTTCACCTGAACACTCGTCATCTTCCCCCAGAGATTCAAGATCTGTCGCACTCAGTGCATAAGCACCAGCACATGAGATCAGCAAGAGTCGTAACATCGCTTTCGCCGGTTGAAAAACAAAAGAGATTGGATAGGACAGCCCTACTCTGAGCCAAAGCAGGGCGTTGGTCAAGTGTTTCAAGTGTTGGTGTAGATTCCAATGCATGGCCAGCGCGAAAATGGTGCACGACACGTAGTGAGGTAGTGCAAAGGATCCATCACCAAGTCAGCAGCGCTCGTTCTTCTGCCTTCTTCTGCTCCTGCCAGCTCACATGACACTTGCTTATGGGCTTATTCACAGGTGCTTTCCGCACAGTCCAGCCTCACTGGGCTCGGCAAGCTTTGTAACTACCTGCCCGACAGGTTCAAGCAGCATCTTACTTGGCCACACGGCCAGGGCTTCAGACCTTTCTGCTTGATCCAGTGCACGAATGTCTGGCTGTGCAAAACAGAAGATAGAGCGTTGTACCTACAATACATCCCGAGCCTGCTCGACATCAGCGCCCTCCATTAGATCTTTCAAATGCTTCTCCAGATCTTCCTGCGTGCTGAAGGAGGCGATGGTGTGGCTTCTGCAGGAAGAATCCATAGAAACTAGCACTTTAGCCATGGAATAGACTTGGAATGCACTGCTCGTGGCCGAGCCTGTGTGCGAGATCCGCTGAACTTCGCGGATGGGGTTGGCGCTTCCTGTGTCGAAGTTTTGGGACTCTTGCTGCCGCGCGCTCAATTCAAGGGGCATCCAAGCGTCTGAATTGAAGAGTTGCATCTCCAAAACATTCCAAAACCCTGAACCCACCAACGTGGCCAGGCTAGAAGCCTGCCAAGCCTCACCCAACCCGAGATGTGACGATCTGCTGCCGCAAGATTCCGCACCTCGCCAAGCCCTGCCACTCGGAGCTCCTGGCAATCCAAGTGAGGAACACTTGGAGTCAAAAGTCAAAAGTAACCAGAGGCGTTCTTTCCTGCCCTCGTGCTCAGAGCCCCACCTGTGTGTCCGTCTCACCCAGGAGAGCTCGCACTTCGGAGCCGTTCAGAGTCCATGACATCGCCTGGTATTATCTATGGCTGGCTTTTTCTGTTTGTTGAAAGCTTAATTATTAGGTGGATTTTAGGCGGCTCCTATCACCTGTCCGTTGCTAATGGCTCTATAATGTTCATGCATCGTAGCAGTGCAAAAGTTGGAAGACATGGTGGGCATTTCATCAATCGTATCCTGCCCGCAACACGCTTAGGCAAGCAAACCATTTATCCCAAGGAGTGGCACGCAAGGAACCTGGCTCTGGTCCGACTCCACCCGCTCCAAATGCTGCACCTGAAACTGCCCGGAACGTGCACAGGCTTCTGGGCAGCCGCAAGCAATGCTGGCAGGGTGAAGTTCTTCTCTATCATGGCTTGAAGAAATCGAAAGCCTACAATGGAATCCGTCTGCAAGGCAAAGTAAGATAAATGGTGGTCGTGACAGCTTTCATCACGACCGACAGCAGTTGCTGCAACAGTCCCACTTGCGTCCCACTTGCAGTTTGAACTCCGATCGGTCAAGGTTGCGGAGGTACATCCTAACATCGCTGATTGCTTGAAACCAGGTGCCAGGTGGTGCCAGCGCCCGTGGGGCAATAGAGGTGCTGTTGGTGGTGTCGGCTGGTGGCGGCGCTGGCAGTGGATGAGAACAATGACTGTGAAACTGGAAGCTGCACCACCTCTCGATATGTCCCGAAGAACAAGTCAGTACAAGTCTGCAGGCTTACGCCTTGTGCTGGGGCAAACGATAGAGTTAAAACCCCTAAAAGGCTGGACCACGAAATTTGAAACTCAAGCCCAAGAAAGCCTGGACCACCTCAGCAGGCTCCAAGCTCTCAGGCTGTATTGACTGGACCTGTGGCACTCAAGATCGCGGACAGATCAAACAGAAAGACCGCTGCAACGGAGGGGGGTGGGCTTGACCTACTTTCTCAAACTCTCGTGCCTCCTGCAGCACCTGATCAAGGAGCTTGGCCTTGAAACGACAAGTTTTTTCTTCATCCAGCAAATGCTGTGCTCTATGAAGACATCCCAAGGCCCCCGCATGTTCGCTGTCCGGGCTTTGCATGCTTTGCAAGAGCTGCGGCCTCACAAGCTGGATTGAATGAAGCGCAGACCACACAGCAAGAGGGAAATTCAAATCAAGGGCTCACATCGTGCCGCTGTGCTGATGCCGACAACCCTCCTCTATCCTCCTCTGGGCTGCGTACACCGGCTCCACTTCTGCCAGGACAGGTTCAGGCTGAACGACCTGCATCAGGGGCATCATCTCCAAGATGCTGAATCATTTCTGTCGCTGCGTACTGGCGTAATTTTGCAGCCGGACAGTTCGGGAAGGATTTTGGGAAGGCAGCTTGTCCAACCTCAAGCAAGAGCTCCTCCATGGAGGGCCTATGCCCCTCAGGGGACACCTGAGCCATGCAGCAACAGACGCCAGCCACAAAGGAAAACTGCTGGCTCTGTAATGCTCGGTATCTCCGGCCGTCTAAGCACCTGACCGCAGCATTCGTGGCAGTGCTGTCTGAAACGCGTCCTCCAAGGTCCAGGGCACCAGAATCAAAGACGGAGCATCACGGGCTCTTTACTGGCGTCCCACTTTCTTCTGGCGCTTCAGAGTCCCCCTGGGGAACTCCCGGCAGGCTTGATGGCGATTCCTGAGTAGATCACGGGACAAACATGGGCAGGACTTGCTTGCGGCTTGCCCAGATCTGACCGCACAGAGGCACCGACGCCACCTTGCTCGTCCCAAAGGTAGCTCAAGGTGCGATCCTCAGCAAAAGGAGCTGAAGCATCCTAGTCCCCTGGCTAGATAAAGCGAATGGCCCTCCCACACACCAAAATTCACACCGTAACTACCCTAGGACCCCCTAAACCACATATTATATATATATTTTTATATTTATATACGTGTATATATATATATACAGATTTATATGCCAAGAATGAGGATCCTGCGCATAACGGCCCCCATGCACAAAGATCGGTAGCTCCCGAAGACCACCAAAGGAAGCTGGACAGCAAACCCGGGATTGGGGTTGAGATCACTCTGAGAAGCATGCCCACGTGGTACCCAGTCTCTTTTCTCCAAGATCCTCCTCGGCTGTCTACATGGAAAAGATTCAGATTCTCTTGCTTGTTTGGCTTGGATTCCACAACCTTTACCCCACGACCAAACTCTCCAGGCACCCTAGCATGCTGATGCCTCCGCAAATCCCTTTGGCAGGGGCCTCATCTTTCTCCACTTCATTCCCTGTGTCTGGAATCTGGCCTTATTCACAACATGCGTTTCTTTGGCTGAGCGGAAGCACCAAGCCCTGATGCAGGTGTTTCTCCAAATGGCAATATGGGAGATCCTGCAATTCTGGGTTGTATGACTATCAAAACACTTCAACCAATGCAGGGGCATCATAAAAAGTTCAGAGGAAGCATTGAATTCTCCTCTCACGGTTGGACAACCATCAGGGCCAACAAATCAGCGAGCGCCGGCAAATGTTGGATAATTCCAAAACAGGGGTCCCCTCATATTTGCCGAAACCTTTGCCGGGACAAGATGTGCCCTCTCTCAGTGCTCAGCTATAGCTCACGGCCAAGCCTTCCACAAATGCTCAAAGGGTTTTGGGGTAGCTAGTCGGCAATGAAAGAAGGAATCCACGTAGTAAGACCTTATAACTCCAAGAACCCTCGACAAGATAATCCCAATAACAATCTCCACATTCCAGTCCTGAATTCCCTACTACCCACCAGAAAGCAAGGTTGTTGGGGTAGCTTCGAAAAGGTCCACAGAGCTGCAAAGATGTTGTATGGCAAACTTGTTGGGAACCTGAGACATCGACATCACCCCCCTCGCATTTTAGAATACGCAGCGCACACGGGCCTGATATGGTCATGGAGTTGACCCGCACCTCAGCCCGCTGCATGGTAGAGTGAGAAAGGCTAATGGTTGCGTGACGCAACATGAGCTACAGCTACGGTCCACGGGAGAAGGCCTTAACACAACAGACTCCATACTCTGTCATAGCAGAACGATGGAGCAGCCCTGCAGCAATGCTCCTAATTACTTTTGACCTCAGCCAGACCACTCCTGACATCTCCTGAATTGTTCCAAAACGCAGGGAAAGTCATCATTGACTCAAGGCAGCTCTGGCACCCTTGGCCATGCTGCAAGTCTGCAGAGATTTTATGGCCACGTGCATGTTACCGAAGGCATCTGCTGAGCTCGCCCCTTCACAAGCAATCTGCGTGATCATACCATGGTTTTCTTCGAGGCTGTAGAACCCCGCTGTTCTGGCCATGGGCTACATAGATATAGACTCAGCCACCCACAGCAGTCACGTGAGTACGAATTCTTCTCTGGAAATGGAAGCGCGAATCAGGGCTGATTCTGTAGAGCTGGCAACAGAAGCCCTTGTCTCAGGGGTCTGCATGCCAAAACCAAAAGGGACAGGTTGCGCAGATCTTGCTGCTCTAACAGCCCGCCAGTTCCACCTTCGGAAGTGATGGGGGGAATCTGACGAAGCCAGCAGATGGCCGAGCATACCTCACTCCCCGCCTTATGCGCCCCGCCTGCATACCTGGGTTGCTGTCAAGCAAGTTGAATTAAGTCACCATAACATGGATCTATTGGAACAAACACGGCTTCCTCAAAGGGCTAGTGAGTTGAAGCTCCTTAAGAGCAACCAAGATGCGGAACAAGGCGACTTTCTTCTGAAGCTTCAACACTGCTTGCTCCATGTCCAGCCAAACCTGCTGGAAAGATGCCCATGTGGAGAGTGGCCATGTGCCCACCGAGCAGTCGCGTCTCAGCCTGATGCATGTTGGTGGATTTCATCTGGAATTTCACGAGGGCTGTTGTAAGCAACAGAGAGAAACACAAGCCTTGAAGCAAGTTACACTCAAAAACTACCAGTCATTGGTCAGAATGCAAGTAAACTTAATCGATCACCAAGTCTCTGTTCGTATTGCTGACACCACTGTAGATGATCACACCCCTGGGCAACCAGAAAGCACTCTTCATGGACACTGGAGCTCAGCTTGACGATGATGCGAAGCATTAGAAGGACGCCGTCTTCCACATGCCTGTGCGAGAAGGAAAAAGCAAAAAAAAGCAAGAAGCCTGACATCACAAAGATTGAAGAACACTGATGCCTCTATAAAGCGCTGGGAGCAACACGCAGGAGATCCGCCGACCCTGGCTGGCCGTGGTTGAGCGCCAGGGAAGCCCTTCTTTCTCTCGTTTCCCCCCAGCCCAAGGTTTGGACCGTCAAAATTGATTCTTTTTTTGTACCCGTCCACCGCCCCCCCTTCCAGATGCCCTGTCCCCGACCCCTCCCTCCCTATCGATCAGAGTTCGTACCCCGCGCATCTCCAGTTTCTGGTCCGAACCCTGTCAAAGACCCCCGGACCTCGTGTAACGTTTCAACAAAGGCTATACGAGTGTATAGTATACATAATATGTATATATATATATATACAAGTTGAGTTATGGGGTTCTAGGGTTTCCAACGACAAGGGACAAAGGATTCATGTTTGGTGGGTCAATGCAATTTGGGAACAAACTTGCGCCCGCGGGGAGGGGACGAAAGCTTTGAAGCAGGGTGCATACCAGCACCTGCATTTTTTCATGAAGCGGCGGAGCGCAAACGGCCTCTGCGCGCCCAAGAACGGCTTCCAACGTGCCCAAAAACCTGCCATCTGGCGTCCCAAA